AGAGGGAGGTATGAGGAAGTCCAGAAAATAAGTAAATTTAAAAACGGGAATTGAAAAAGTGATATTGTTTTTAATTGCTCTGTTTATTCTGGTTTTTTTTGCTTTTTGTTTTTGTGTGTGTGTTTATCTTCCTTTTTTTGGATTATGTATAGTGTATTTGTGTATTTCTTTTTTATGTCCTTCTGTCTAACTTTTTTTTGAAACCTTAATAAAAATCATTAAAAAAAAAAGAGAACTCCAACAGCCTCAGAGATATATGGAATGTCCATGGAGTTTAAGAGGCGACGCAGAAAATTCCATGGAAATAAAATATCAGGTTTTTCACATTCCTGGTCTAGGAAGTGACACACAGTGGGACTATGTGAGACCAAGCACTCTGCTAACGAAGCCCCAGGGTCAATAGAAGGATCCTTATGGGAGAAGGGCTACACTTAACAAACAAAATACAGTGGTGCCTCGCAAGACGAAATTAATCCGTTCCGTGAGTCTCTTCGTCTAGCGGTTTTTTCGTCTTGCGAAGCAACCCTATTAGCGGATTAGCGGATTAGCGCTATTAGCGGTTTAGCGGCTATTAAAGGCTTAGCGGCTTAGCTGCTAAAAGGCTATTAGCGGCTTAGCGGCCTAGATAAAGGGGGGGAAAGTGAAAAAAAATCTCAAGACTCGCAAGACATTTTCGTCTTGCGAAGCAAGCCCATAGGGAAATTTGTCCTGCGAAGCGCATCGAAAAACGGAAAACCCTTCCGTCTAGCGGGTTTTCCGTCTTGCGAGGCATTCGTCTTGCGGGGCACCACTGTAGGCCAATCACACAGCTAGCAATTCACTTTATCCTTATCCATATGCAGCTTGAAGTTGCTATTATACTTATGGGAACTGAAAGTTAGCATATTAGGAATCCATCAAGCTTATTCATGACAGGTCACAGAAAACATTATCAATGTGTTACTGCTAAGAGAAGCGGGGGAGCTCTCCAAGCACCATACTCCTGAGATCATCATAATGCTGGAAAGCGACTCCTTCCTGCAAAGGAAGAAAGGAGAACTGGTGATTGCATCATCCTGTGCCCTTTGGACAACCTTTGGGTTCTAATGTCATTGCTGGAAAAATAAGGGAAGTCAAATGGATTTAGCACAAAATATGCTCACAGGACAGAATGTGAAGCACAACTTTAAAAACTGAGGAGCAGAGAGCAGGAAGCACCGATCCTAGCTTTCATTTCACACTGTTTCTGGAAACCATTAAGATGGTCCAGAAAAGGGAGAACTCTCAAGGCAGTTTCCAAACTGAGGCCAGATCAGACCAACCTGAGAGGATTTCCAAGGTATCACTGGCATCTCTGCCAGTTTTTTAAAAAGCAATTGAACAGGCACACACAGCAGTTAATAAACATCACAGGCCAAGAAAGCATGGCCTCATTTTTGCAGGAACAAATGGCTCGCTGTGGCAAGATGGGAGATAAAGAGAGTCCGCACACAGGAGTCCAAAGTACTGAAATTTATAGTGCAAAAAGGACATTAAACAAAGAACTTAAATGCAAAGCCTGAACTATATATTATTAACATCTCTCCCCCCCCCCACCCCCAATACCTACTTCAGAAGCACTTTCACACTGGGTATTAGCCACAGAGAGTCAATTGTGCTGCTTGTGTCTGTCTACACAACTTCAACTGGTTTGAAACAGGTGTAAGATATCATGATTCTCTTAATGCACACTAGTAGTTGCAGTTTTGTGAGGCTGCAAAGAATGCAAAATTCATAAATTTTTCACCAAATCTCTGTTCCCAGGCTTCCCGTTTAAGAGGAATGAAAACATAAAAGCTATTTTACTTTGGTAGTATAGGTAAAGGGGCCCCTGACCATTAGGTCCAGTCGTGACTGACTCTGGGGTTGCGGCGCTCATCTCGCTTTATTGGCCGAGGGAGCCTGCGTACAGCTTCCAGGTCATGTGGCCAGCATGACTAAGCCGCTTCTGGTGAACCAGAGCAGTGCACGGAAACGGAGCGGTACCTATTTATCTACTAGCACTTTGACGTGCTTTTGAACTGCTAAGTTGGCAGGAGCAAGGACCGAGAAACGGGAGCTCACCCTGTCGCGGGGATTCGAACCGCCAACCTTCTGATCGGCAAGCCCTAGGCTCTGTGGTTTAACCCACAGCGCCACCTGCGTCCCTACTTTGGTAGTATAGATGCGTGCTTTCTCTCCAGGGAAGTTACTGCTGGATACGTAGTCTGTTGAGGACTTGAAGAAGAGCTGGAACATATGTGTGTTGGCAACATACAGGTACATCTCCCCCACTCTGGCAAAGGTTCTCTGCTTTCAATGCAAGCTTTATTGTAGCCTCGCTTTCATTTATTTATTTATAAAATGTGTTAGGCTCCTGTCTATTAAATAACCCCAGAAACATGCAATTTATAAGACAAAGAAACAGTTCCTTAAGCAAACCAAGATGATAAAGGAAAAACAGCAGGAGCTGCCGCAGAAAACAAAGGACTCAGACATTCAAAAAGGCCTTCTTTAAGACGACTGTTTTGACTGGACTGCGTAATGAATAAGGCAACAACGAAGCCAAGCAGATTGCCTGGAAACAGACCTACACTGCCTTAATTTCCATGCTGGAGAAAAGAAGGGATAATAATGAAACAAACAAAACCCCTCTTTGGTTAAACACTTCGAAAGAGGCAGCACCATAACGAAGAACCTCTTGCTTTCAAACCTCACAATACTAACCTCCGCAGCTAAGAGGAAGCAGAGCAGGAGAATGGAGAGATGGATTTGGGGCAGGGGTAGGAAGCCTCTGGCCTTCCAGGCATTGCCAGAATACAATTCCCACCATCCCTGACCATTTGCCAGGCTGGAGTCCAACAACATTTGGAAGACTGCAGGTTCCCCACCCACAATTCAGGGTGTTCGTTGCCACTGGTGCCACATTTAATGTCCAATGACCAATCTTCTCACTCAGGGTGGGGCAACTTAATAGGATGACTTTTGGGGGGGAGCCCATAACCCAGTGCAAGTCATCTGAACGTGCCTAGGAGTCAACCCCTGGCCTCCATTTAGAAAAAGCTATTGGAAAGCTGCTGCCAGATGAGAGAATGTACTGGGTTAGGAGAACCAAGGATCTGACTCGTTACAAGGCAGCTCCATAGGTCCAAAGTCATTCTCATTTTGCCCATCCTGGTTCTAGTACAAATCTTTGTGCGTTTCCTCGTACACACAAGCCTCTGCCTCCCACACCTGCAGAGCATCTTGAATTTTCTATCTCCAAACTAACAGTGATCTATGCATCATAACCATGCATCTAGACAAAACTTAATAGACGTAGTGCTGTGTGTCCATGCTGGGAGTAGGAGAACCTTAAGACAGGGATAATAAAAGCAGCTGGACTTAACTTCTGCTCAAAAATTACCTTTTCTGGAATGGGTCCAATGGCACAAATGCACTTTTTTTAAAAAAGGGAGTTCTCACAGGGAAAGAGCAGCAGCAACACAGCGGTCAGGGGAAAGAGCTCTTGAGTCTCATCTCCAGGCCAGGCACAGGAACGTTTGTACAGTGCGGTACAGGAGCTTTTTGCACAAAAGTTAAAAATGAAGGGTGGAAATGGAGAGCTAAACAGGAGCAAAAGGTTTCAGCGCCACTGGACGCCATGCACCACCTCAATGCCACACGATTGCCAGCAGGAAACCATGCAAACCACCAGCCATCTAGGCACATCTGTGAAGGTCTGCATTGTGTATCAAAAGGGCGCAAGCCTAATGCAAAACCGCACACAAGCTAAACTGCTACACAATATGGCGCACACATATTAATGCATCTTATCAGACTGCAGGCACTCATGGTTCCAAGTCTGGAACAAATCATTGCTTTGGTGCAGCTATATCCAGCCGCGCACTTCCACTGCATGCTGTGTAGCAACTGTTACATACAGCTATTTGTGCCAATTCTGCTTCCTCAGCACGTGGAACTCTGTCAGAGACACGTTAGCATAACGCAAGCGGTACGTTTTGGCTGTTACGGGCAGACTTGCTCACGGTGCTTCTAAGTCCTCAGCCACAAAACACTGCTGATAATCCACTGAAGTGATCAAAAACAGCAAGACCACTCCCCCTGCCTTTTTTTTTTAACTGCGTGCTTTAAAAATGTGCCTTCGACATTTCTCGAGCCTCAAGCCAGATCACGGAGTCCAACATTCCTCACTCAGCAATTGTTTAGAACTTGCTGATACGACAGCAGCAAATTAATTTCCACCAGAGGAAAAACTTCCTTGCTATTGTGCGGCAGCGTATTAGGAGAAAACAATCTGAAATAATTAACTTTTTTCTTCTGCTTTTAGTGCTTGTCAATGATTAGCGGGCTCAGCAGGGCTTCCCCCCTTCCAAGAACTCTTTCCCCCTCTGACCTGTTTTCCTCTTCAAGGGTCTCCCCCACGCCCTCCCCAAAACCCCCACCGTGTGCCTACTTCTGCAAGCAACGTGCAGAGAGTATCCGTGCCAAGTATGACCAATTTGAACTTTTATATGCTGATTTTCAAGGTCACTGCTGAAATGGGCAAGTTTGCACTTAACAGCATTCTCCAGAAACTACGCAGCACTACTGAATACGAGAGAGAGAGAGAGGGAGAGAGAGAGAGAAGGGAGAGGGAGGCAAGAAGGAGCAAACTACCAAAGTTCAGCCCACAGTGAACGCCAGCTTCAATGCTGAAGGCAAAGCAGCCCGTCGCTGGCGAGATCGAGCTGTCCCTCCGCAGCTGGACATTGCCTCTGGTTTGCACGGTTACATAAACAAAGATAAGAGGCGCCGAGGGTCCTCCTCGCTGCCTCCCGCCTTGCAGCCAATGGAGAGCGCCCGGCGGGAGAGAGGTCTTGGAAGAAGGACACCCAACAGTCGGAAGCGAGAGGAACGCGGACGCCTCTCCACGGGGCTGTTGCCCTTACCTGGCCGGCTTCCAGCTAGACAAGCGCGCTCGTGGGCTGGGCGGCGGCAGCAGCAGCAACCTGAGGGCTAGCATGCCGCCCCTGCAAGGCTCCCTCGCCTCCCCTCGGCTCCATGTGCTCCGGGCTGCTCGGAATACATTTGGCGTGCGCTCGCTGCTGCTGCGACAGGAGGAGGATTCAGCACCAGAGCCGAGCTGCTGCTGCTGCTGCTGCTCCTCGATCCCCACACCAGCTGACTGGATAATTAAACTAAACACATGCCGCCAGAGCCACTCCAACCCAGCGACGCTCCTGGGATCCCTGGTGCCACCTGGCAGGCTCTGGCCAAGCACAAGGGAGCGGCTCTCGGAAAAACAAGCGCGCAAAGGCGCAGAGGAGAGCGGCGGGCGAGGGCGCACGGCGGAGAGGTGCCCACGCGAAGGAGCCCCGCGAAGCAGACCCGCACCGGCTGCTCCCGTGCGCTTCCCCGGGATGCCGGAAGGGAACTGCGAGGCGGCTTCCTTGAAAGGACCGGGCAGGCGACAAAACCAGAGGAGCCACCCCCGCGTGGCAGAAGAGATCGCAGCCCAGGCGAGCAGGCAGCGGCCACGCTTCTGCAGCGCCCGGCGGAGCGGCAAGCCACGCGCGGAAGGCAGTTTGGGCCGCAGCAACGACTAGATAGGCATCCTCGGATGCTGATGCTGCTTAGGTGAAAGGGATCAGTGACAAACGTGTTGCATTTGTTGCAAATAGGTACACTGCCAACTGCTCTGAAAGCCTCATTTTGGGCTCAGAAGCAGTGCAGAAACTTAATACGTAACATGGTAAGGACAACAATATGGCAAGTGGGAGGATTCCCTGGATGGAGCTGGCAGACTGGTAGTGCTGGTCACCCATCCCCCGGGGCAGTATTATATTCACACACCCTATTCTGTGTCAGAGACTACCTCCATACAAAAAGGCACAAGCAGTGTTTCACACAACGCACAATTAAACATATGGAACAATCAGACAAATCCAGGGTCAACTGCTAGGCTACCAGTTATAATTGTTCAAGAGAACCTCCATGTTGCAGACAGGATGCCTCTGAATTCCAGTTGCTGGAGAGCTTCCAGTTGTCTTCACTTAAGTCCTACTTCTATGTTTCCTGGAAGCACCTGGCTTGGGACTGTTCCAAGCAAGATGCTGGACTAGACTGGTCCTGGGGCAGTTCGGCTTGCTCAGACAAAAATGGACATCTAGTCTGGCATGCTGCCTACAACAGTGGCCGGCTGGATGCTTCTAGGAAACCAACAAATATGACACAGTGGAGGCATCAGCTGTCCTTAGTATCTGGTATTTGGAGGTATAGTGCCTCTGCATGTTGAAGCTCCCTTTCCTGTTGAAGGCATACTTGGTCACTGTAACCATGTCAGGGTATTCTGCAAGATGTGCTCCCCTCTAGGGAGACTGCCCTTGAAAACAGCTTGGAAATGTCAAAGGGTGAAAAATGCTGCAGTTTTCTAGTCCAAGTATATAACTGATACAGTGGTACCTCTACTTACGAATGCAACCCGTTTCGGGGTGCCATTTGCACCCCGAAAAGTCTGTAAGTAGAGCACTACCACTGTGCGTGCATGAAGCACAATAGAGCGCTTCTGCGCATGGAGAACCAGGAAGTAAACACTTCCGGGTTTGCCACATTTGTAACCTGAAAAGCCACAGCGTGAAGCAAACGTAACACAAGGTATGACTGTATTTTTAAGCTGCATTGCTTACCTAATTTGTTTCTTGGATCAGTTCAAGTTGCCAGTGCTAAACACTGAAGCCCTGAATGATCTGGAAGCAGAATGCCCAAAGGACTGCCTCCCCCTACATGTGCCTTCTCATGCGCTCAAGACAACAATTGAGGCCCCAATGCCTCCCTCCCTCCCGAACTGAGGTGGGTGGAGTTTTCATGTTATGCCACTGCAACTTTGGAATGACTTTCCAAGAGAGACCCACCTGGCTTGATCTGTGTCCTCCTATTGATGGAGGGAGGAAACAAGCTAGGGAGATGCTAGCTGCTGGTTGCTATGGTTTTGGTGCTTTGCATGCTGCATTTTTAATGTTTTCGTATAATTACTTTTATATTGATTTTTTTAAAATGAGATTTAAAAAAAAAAACTTTCTATGGCAACCTAGGAGAAGGATAGAACAGTACTGAAAATAAATAAAATAAGCTTAGTGATAATTGAGAATAATGCTGGTCTCTTCTTAAACATGCTGGACCACGGTATCAGCTTTGACATTTCAGATGAAACAAGTTGTTAAAGCACAAGCAAAATAGAACTCCCACATGCACAGTTGGGATTGTGACCTGGGTGTCTTACAGCAACAAGAGGAGTGGTTGCGTAGTTAGTTTGCAACTCTAAAATGGCCCACCTGTCCTTAAAATGATGCTGTTGAGCCACAACTGTGCTCTGCACTGGCTTTCCACAGCCCTCTAGGCACAAGTTTAAGTTGGCGGTTTGGTTTTTTTCAGGCCTCAGATGCAGGTTTGCACATACCCGTGAGATCAGCACATCCTATGGTTCTGTCCCCGTCAGCATACGATGGTTTATTGACAATGGAGCCTTTCCACAGGAATCAAACAGAGTGAAGCCCTTTGTGATGAGACACTGGAGGCTGCAAAGTAGAGGAAGAAGCAGGAAGTGCCGTAGCCCAGATCCACCCTTGTCCGCACCAGGTAGACTTCTGGTTCCTGCTCACCTGGCCAGGCATAAATCCTTCCTGGGTCTTTTACCTGCCTGCCAACCTCTACTGTGACTCCTGGAACCTGTCTTTAATGGATTATCTAAACCTGGGAAACCTCTTTTTTAATACTTGGACTGAGGCTATGGTATTGAGAAGGGTGGGTCAACCTTTCCTCCCTGTGCTGTTTCTTCAATTTAAAGCTGTCTCCAACCTGTCATTAGTTGCAGATAGGAACGGCCCAACCAAGAGGCAAGGTGTGACAGCTGCCTCGGGCAGCAGAATCCACCAGGGGCAGCAGATCCCCATGTTGATCTTTCTTCTCCCGCCATGTTCCTGATATAGATGTTCCTTCACCCCTTCTTCCCTGGCAGGGAGGGAAGCACCATTTTGGGGTGTGCCTCAGGTGCCAAAATGTCTCAGGCTGGCCCTGGTTGCAGAAAAGTGAAAATGTCGAGTGGAAGATGCCACCAGCTTGGAAGGCTTTAAAAGATGATTGGATTAGACAAGTTCGTGGAGATTAAGGCCATCAATAGCTATTACAGTGGTACCTTGGTTCCCAAAGGCTTAGTTGTAGAACAAATCAGCGCCCGAACACCGCAAACCCAGAAGTGTTCCAGCTTGCAAACTTTTTTTGGAAGCCGAACATCCAACATGGCTTCCGCTTGAGTGCAGGAAGCTCCTGCAGCCAATCGGAAGTCACGCCTTGGTTTTTGAACGGTTTTGGGAGTTGAACCGACTCCTGGAACAGATGAAGTTTGAGAACCAAGGAACCACTATACAGTTGTACCTTGGATCCCGAACGCCTTGGCTCCCGAACAAATTTGCTCCCGAATGATCAAAACCCAGAAGTGATGTTCCAGTTTTTGAATGATTTTCAGAGGCTGAACATCTGGCGTTACTTCTGACTGGCTGCAGGAGCTTCATGCAGCCAATCAGAAGCCGCACTTTGGTTTCCGGACATTTTGGAAGTTGAACAGACTTCCGGAATGGATTCCGTTCGACTTCCAAGGTACGACTGTACTATATTTTGCTTCCATAGTCTGCTGCAGGAATGCTTCTGAATACCAGCTGCTTGGAGCCTGTTATGTACTGAGTGAATAGGATCCAAAATGCAGCAGTCTGATTGGTCCTAGAACAATGCAGCAGTATGATTGGTCTGCAGGAGCCACCCAATCCGGCTCCAGATGGAAATGAATCCACAACCTGATTGGCCTACAGGAGAATTCCGGAATTGGCCAATCACATGCAGCCCATTGTGTAAATAATGTATATAAAGCAGATATTTTGAGGGGACTTTTCATGCCTCCTCACCACTATGAGATGAATAAAGAGCATGAAATCACTTTGCGACTCTTGAGTATATTTCAGAGCCACAGGATGAGAAAGGGCTACTGTGTTTGGGTCCTGCTTGAGCGTTTCCTACAGGCCAGATGCTGGAATAGATGGACCACAGACCTGATCCTTCAGGCTCTTCTTATGCTGGAGGTTGAACCCACAAACCTTTGTATGCAAAGCCACTGCTCTACCACTGAGCAATCCCCTCACCTAAATAAGCAAAATGAGCACATCTGTTTAAAGCACTTGTATTATTCGGCCAACTCAGAGGCTTGAGGAGTCTTACAACAATGACTGAAACCACGAAGGCACACCCATTCTGCTCCTTCCCCAAATCAAGACATTTTTCATTCCCCTCACCCCCTCCAGGCTCAACAGGAAGTTAAACATTGCAGGCTCTGCAGGCAAAAATAGCAAGGAAAAGGGAGAGGGGACAAATGAAAATGAAACGAAGTGCTCTTTAGGAATGCGGCAAGACTGCTCCAGACACCAAGATTGATTGCAAAAGGGGGAACATTTGCCCCAAGCAAAGGCCACAGACACTGTTCCAAGTAAAGGAGGAGAGGCATTTCTTGCTGGAGTTGGGCTTTCTGGAAAAAGCACAATTGGCAATTTGCTCATGCACACAACCAGAGGACAGGCTCTCGGGGTTGTCGTGCTGTGCTCTTCAAGAAGGAATCATAGGGACTTTGGGTGCCAAACTACGTGTTCCGCAGACTTTTGTGTAACTTCCCATGTCTCCACCCTCCAAGAACAACAAAAAGCTGCTGTGAGAGGATGCAACATTGAGCAAAAGGACTAGTGGGTGGAGGAGAGATGGGGCTTAGTCCCTTTCCCAATGCCGGTTTCTGCTGAACTCCCAGGAGCAGGCTCGTATGGAGCTTGTCAGTGGCCTGGGATGGGAATCTTGTTAGAATGAAGTTACAAACTCAAACAAAAAAGCAGCCGGTCTCCGTTGGGGTACACAGCCAGGCCCAGGGCAAGTGCACATGGCTCCCCATCCCCTCCATAGACCTGTCCAGGAGAGGCTGATTCCCACTCATTGAGACAAGGGTGCCTTGTAGACTCCCTTGGGTGATTCTCAAGTCACTGTGTTTTTCTTTGGAGCTGGGAACTCCACCCACCAGAGACGACACTGTTGCTGTTTACATAACAAGATCCTGGGGTGAAAGAGAAGTCTGGAGGTAAGGACTCCTCAAGGACTCCTCAAGCTCCCTGGCCACATGCAAGTTGCAGGCAAGCATCCAGTCGTGCACCTAAGCTAGCCAGGTTCAGAAAGATGCTGTAATATTCAAAGTTGAGAGCCACGAGAGATAAAACGTTGGAACTTGGATGCAGAAGACCTGGATTCAAATCTCTGCTCAGCCATGAAGCTCCTTGAGCCACTCTCCTGCACCTATTTTCCATACTTAGAGGAAGTGGGATACCAATGTGATGAATTCTAGTCACCCAGCGTGCCAATGTATTTAATAAATAAATATAATAATAATAATAATAATAATAATAATAATAATAATAATAAATTAATTTATGCCCCGCCCATCTGGCTGGGTTTCCCCAGCCACTCTGGGGAGCTTCCAGCAGAATATTAAAATACAATAATTCATCAAATATTAAAAGCTAAACAG